TCTCCCTCTATTTGAAGGATCTTAATAATTGAGGCTTCCAGGAAGATGGCACAATGAGAAGTCAAAACAGAGTCCATCCAATGCCACAAAATTCTCATCAAAACAGCAATAAAAATGACAAAAGCCCAAGTGTCAGATATTCTTGAGAGAGAAAATGTGATTACAACCAAGGATCAACTACCCAGCGAAAATGAGCATGATCTTTCAGGGGAGGAGATGAATATTCTGTGAAATAGGGGACTTCCAAATCTTCCTGATTGATCTTCAAATACAAGACTCAAGAGAGACATAGAAAGGTAAACAGGACAGAAAGAAACAACAACATGTTATTAATGAGGGCAAACTGTTTACATCCCTGCAAGGGAAGATGATACTTGGAGCTCTTGAGAACTGTATTGTTACTGCACCATGTTAAGGGGGTATACATAAAGGAGGTGGATATAAGTTGACTTTGATGTAATGATAAAAAAATATAATCAAGTGGGTTAATCTGATCTAATTAAGGAAATGTACTGAAAGAAAAGGAAAGGAGGAGGCAGATGAAGGTAAATTACATTACAAGAAAAGGCACAAAAACCTATTACAGTAAAGGGAAAGAAGGGAGGTAGATGAGCATTGTTTGAACCTTACTCTCATCACATTGGGTCAAGAAGGTTTGGGTTAGGCATAGGATTAGGGTTACTGTTAGGTTAGGATTATGGTTAGAATGCAATTAGTGTTAGGGTTAGGGGATTAAGTTAGATTTAGGATTAGGGTTAGAGTTAGAGTTTGGTTAGGATTAGGGTCAAGTTGGCTATCAGGTTATAGTTGCAATTAGGGTTAGTGTTGGGGTTAGGCTTAGGGTTAATGTTAGTTTTAGGATTAAGCTTAGCGTCTGAGTGTTATGGGTAGAGTTTGATTAGGGTTTGGATTAACATTATTGTTAAGGTTAACTTTCCAGGTATAGTGGTAGGATTAGAGCTAGAGTCAGAAGGTTAGGGTTAGGGATAGGTTAGGGTTAGAGCCCAATTAGGGTTAGGGTTAAAGTTAGGCCTAAGGTTAGGCCTATGGTTAGATTGCTTAGGATTATTGTTAAGGTTAAGTTTAGGGTCAGAATGTTTTGGTTAGAGTCTTAATCTGAGGTATACAGTGTTAGGTTAGTGTGAGGGTTAGGGTTAGTGTGCAATTAGGGTTTGGGTTAGGGTTAGAGCACAGTTAGGGTTAGGGTTAGGGGTGGAGTTAGGGTTAGCATTAGGGTTAGAGAGAAATTATCATTTGAATTAGCGTTAGGGTTAAGGTTAGAGGGCAGTTAAGATCATGGTTAGAATTCGGGTAAGGGTTAGGGTTAAAGTTAAGGTTAGGATTACTGTAATGGCTAGGGTTACAGTGGCATTAGGGTTAGGGTTAGAGTTCTGTTAGGGTTAGTGTTAGGGTTAGGGTTAAAGTTAAGGTTAGAGTTAGGTTTAGGGTTAGGTTTGGGGTTAGGTTTAGAGTTATGGTTAAGCTTACTGACATAGTGTTTTGGTTAGAGTTTGATTAGGGTTTTTGTTTGGGTCATTGTTAAGGTTAGGGCTGGGGTTAGAGTGCAGTTAGGGTTAGGTTTAGGGTTAGAGCACAATTAGAGTTAGTGTTAGGGTTATGGTTATGGTTATGGTTATGGTTATGGTTAGGGTTAGGATTAGGTGTTGGATTAAGTTTAGTTTAGGTTTAGGAGTAGAGCTCAATTAGGGTTAGGTTTAGGGTTAGTATTAGATTTAGGGTTAGAGTGCAATTAGGGTTAGGGTTAGGGTGAGGGTTACAGTTAGGGTTAGGGCTAGGGTTAGTTTTAGGGTTATTGTTAGGGTTAGGTTTAGGGTTAAGTTTGGGTTTAGGTTTAGAGTTATGGTTAAGCTTATTGTCATAGTGTTTTGCTTAGAGTTTGATTAGGTTTTAGGTTTTGGTCATTGTTAAGGTTAGGGTTAAGGATAGGTTTAGGGTTAGAGTGGAATTAGGGTTAGGGTTAGGGTTAGGCTTAGAGTTAGAGTACAATTAGGGTTAGGGTTAGGGTTAGGTTTAGGGTTAAGCTTATTTTCATAGTGTTATGGTTACAGTTAGGCTTGGGGTTAGGCTTAGGGCTAGGGTTAGGGTTAAGGTTAGGGTTAGGGTTAGGATTAATGTTAAGGTCAGGGTTAGGGTTTGGGTTTGGGTTAGGTTTAAGGTTAGGGTTAAATTTATTGTCATTGTGTTATGGTTAAAGTTTGATTAGGTTTTAGGTTTTGGTCATTGTTAAGGTTAGGGTTAGGGATAGGTTTAGGGTTAGAGTGGAATTAGGGTTAAAGTTAGGGTTAGGGTTATGGTTAAGATTAGGGTTAGAGTTAGGGTTAAGGTTAAGGTTAGGGTTAGAGCACAATTAGGGTTTGGCTTAGGGTTAGATTTAGGATTAGGTTTAGGGTTAGAGCACAATTAGGGTTAGGATTAGGGTTATACCACAATTAGGGATAGGGTTAGGGTTAGGCTTAGAGTGCAATTAGGGTTAGGGTTAGGGTTAGGGTTAGGGTTAAGGTTATGGTCAAGTGTAGGGTTAGGTTTAGGGTTAGTGTTAGGGGTAGGGTTAAGGTTAGGTTTAGGTTTAGGTTAGGGTTAGGGGTAGAGCTCAATTAGGGTTAGGATTAGATTTAGGGTTAGAGTGCAATTAGGGTTAGGGTTACGGTTAGGGTTAGGGTTGGGGTTCAGCTGAGGTTAGGGTTAACGTTATGGTTAAGGTTATGTTTAGGGCTAGAGGTAGAGGTAGAGTTAGGGTTAGAGTTATGGTTAGGGTTAGAATCGGATTTTGAGTTTTGGAGTCTGAATGGAAGGCATTTAGGATTAAGTATGGAGTTGTAGGCATTTAAGGTTCAAATTAGTGTTGGGGTTAGTGTTAGGGTTAGGCATTTAGTTTTGGTGATGGGACTAGAAAGAGGGAAAATCTTATCAAATGTGCCTAGGTTCTTTGCTTCTGAAAAAAATGTTTCTAGAGATTCACAGCTTTATATTTCAGGCAGTTCAGAACCAACCTTATGCTGAAATAGTGGTCCTCCTCATTTTAATAATTAAGCTCTTTTGTTTTGTTGTTATTGAGTTGTGTTTGACTCTTTGTGACCTCATTTGGTATTTTCTTCCCAAGGAAATTGAAGTAGTTTGACATTTCCTCCTCCAACTCATTTTTTCAGATAAAGAAACTGAGGCAAACAGGGTTAAGTGACTTACCCAGGGTCACACATCTAGTAAATGTCTGAGGCCTGGATTTGAACTCAGTCTTTCTGACTCCAGGCACTGGGCTCTATCCACTGTGCCCCATACCTGCCCCTTTTACAGTGAGACAAAGTCTTCTACTCTGATTCCAAATTACATTTATTGGACTCTGATTTACTCTTGATTCTGGGGTCCCTTGCTTGGTTATCTACAAAGCCTAGAGAGGTTACAAGACTTGCCTGAATCAGAGCTGGGACAGACGTTATTAAAATGGAGGTGGCAACACACCCCTTCACAAATTAGCCTGCAGATTTCTTCAGTCCTCAGATGCCATCAATTTTTTGTGTGGAAGGAAAGGAAAGGAAAGGGTCACACTGAGGAGGGCTGGAGGTTGGAAGGCCAGCAGAGGAGGGTTGAGAGCTGAGACCTTATTTTTATCTGATTCAAGCTGGAAGCACAAGAACTATGTGTTCCTGGAGTGATAATGGGAGGGAGGGAGGCTGTTCTGTGAATAAAGCAGAGAGATGAAAGGTCTATAAAGCTGGAGATTTCCTCTGTGTTAGTTTCGGTTTTGGTCTCCTCAATTGTGCATGTTCATTCTTAGATTTTACCAATGACTATTGGATGGCAGAATCTCTGAAGCCAATAAGTGTAAACTGGCTTCAATGATCTTGTGCTTCAATCAGCCTGTTGACCATGAAGAATTACATTCGATTTCTCTTTTTGTTGGTGACCCTGGCCTTGACAGAGACCTGGGCAGGTGAGTAGGGGATAGTATTAAACTGCCACTTGGAGACTGGATAAAGCACTCAGGAGTAGTTGTGTGGGTGAGGAGGGGTTTTGCTAAAGAAAGCTCTTCCAACAGCAGCCCAGAGTGGGTTTCCAGGGAACCAGCTCCTTAATCTTAGGTGAAGTCAAGGTGGTGCTTGAAGGGAAGAAGCAATAAATAAGCCTATGGGTGACTTGGGAGACTGGTCTGCCATCCCTTAGCTGGGCTTTGGTAGGAGAGTGGGGGTCCTGGTGTAGGTCTCTTAGTTTGGGGAGTGGTGTCGAGTGGATTGTTAGGACATAGGGTGTTGAGGTAAAGGTGCTAGGAGAGAGAAAGGGTTCGACAGTCCTGTGGGAGTTAAGAAGGAGCAGGGCTGTCTGGGAGCCCCCGGACATCCAAGAGAGAGGACAGAGAACCAGGTGAAGCTTTGTTAAAGCGTTTCCTAGAGGATCGTGGGGGGCGGGTGGGATGAGTGGGGCCAGGCAAGGACACAAGTTGGGGGTGCTGAGGGTGAGGAATGTGAGAGATCCAGAACCTGTACCAGAAGTGGGGGGGGGAGCGGAGACAGAAGGGCAAAGTCTAAGAAAAGGGGCACTAGGACCTGCCTGGGTTGTTGTCAGTAAGGCATTTTGCTGATCTCAAAGCTCTATAGTCTAGAGAATTACTACCACCTGGCGCGGTGCCCCTGCAGCGAAGGGGGGAGGAGGGGCTATGAGGCAGGAGGTGGGGAGGCAACTCTAGACCGCTGGGTTCGGAGTCCGCGGTTACACCCCGGGCGGGACGGGGTCAAGGGTCACACCCCAGGCTTGGCCGCAGACGCTGGGCCGCCAGGGTCTGGGCTGAATGATCACTGCCCTGAGTCTGGGCCCAGGTCCCCATGTTTCAGGCTTTCACTCCCTGAGGTATTTCTTACACAGCCGTGTTGCGGCCGGAGCTCGAGCAACAGTTCGTGCGCTTCGACAGCGACAGCGAGAGTCAGAGGATGGAGCCGCGGGCTCCGTGGATGCACAAGGTGGACCAGGGGACTATTGGGAGTGGGAGATGCGTAACATAAGGGAGCACGCACAGGATTACCGAGTGAACCTGCAGAACCTGCGCCGCTACTACAACCAGAGGGAGGGAGGTGCGTGAAGTGGTTCCCCAGGGTCACAAATCACGTCCACGGACCAGAGTGGGGAGGAGGAGAGCCACAGTCACCTGCGGGTCTCACTGGGGACACCGGGCAAGGGGAAGCCTCCCGAGGCTGAAGGAGCTACTTTTGGTTCCATCCCGGGTGGCGGGCAGGTCACGGAATCAGCTCCTGGTGGGGAAAGTCTGACTGTACTGACCCCAGGGCTGGGGGCGGGGCAAGGGTCCACACAATCCAGTTCATGTACGGCTGCGAGGTTTCCCCCGACCTCACCTTCAAGCGCGGGTTTGAACAAAATGCCTACGACGGGCACGACTACATCGCCCTGGACACGGAGACTTACACGTGGACGGCATCGGTGCCCGAGGCTGTGAATACCAAGCGCAAGTGGGAGGCCGAGAGAAGCATCATGGAAGGAGAGAAAGTCTATCCGGAGGAGGAGTGCGTGCAGTGGGTGCACAAGTACCTGGAGATCGGGAAGGAGGCTCTGAAGAGGATAGGTACTGCAGGTCCCTGACCGAATGTGAGTGGCACACAAGGCCCCTGGCCGGCCCTTCTCCACTTCCCCTACAGCCTCAGTCCCAGATTCCTGACATCAGGGGCCCCATGACCCTCATTACCTGAATGTGGGTTGTTCTCCGTCGCCAGAGAGCCTGGAAATGCCTCTGACTTTTGCCTCCAGACCCCCTCTTCTTTCCGAGGGACCCACACTGCCCCCGATGGGGAGATGACCCTTCGGTGCCGGGTCCAGGACTTTTACCCTGCGGAGATCTCTCTGACTTGGCTGAGGGATGGGGAGGAACAGCTCCAGGACACGGAGTTCATTGAGACCAGGCCAGCAGGAGATGGGACCTTCCAGAAGTGGGCAGCTGTGGGAATCACCTCGGGCCAGGAAGGGAAATATACCTGCTGAGTTCAACACGAGGTACTGTCTGAGCCCCTCACCCTGAAATGGGGTAAGGACAGTGAGGAGGAGCTGGGGAAAAGGCCATCCCCCACCTCCCAAGAAGAGCTAAGGGATGTGGAGTTACTGGGAGGGAGCTGGAGAAGAGGTTAGTGAATCTCAGGCCAGAGAGGGATCAAGGCCTTTCATTTCCCTTTTCCACTTTTAGAGCCACAGTCCTCACTCACCTGGATCATTGTGGGGGGCATTATGTTGTCCTCATTGCAGTCATTGCTGGAGTTGTGATCTGGGGGAACAGGAATTCAGGTAGACAAGACAGGAAGGGGATTACATTGGGCAGCAGGCACAGTGGAGATCTGGCTTCCCCTGAACTGGAAGCTTGGCTTTCTGTCCCCAAGTTCTCTATTTCCCATCTAAGAGACTGTTAGGCTAGATGAACAAATCTGTAAATAGAAAACATTTTTCTTGAGAATGCCTTGCAGTGGTATAACAGCCTGGCTAAGTAGGAAAACTGCTTCAGACCCAGATCTGAAATGAATATGGGGATTTCTGCAAAGGAACTGGGTGTTCCCCAGCCAGGGGTTGTAGACCAGACTTGGAAACACATTGATGCAGGACCTGAGGTTGGAAAATGCCCATTTGTGGAGCCTCTTTTATCTTCTTGTTGGATCTAGATACTGAACTGGAGTGGGGGGTGGGGGCAGCCACAATTGTAATTTGTTATGTCTCCAAGACAAATCAGTGACCTTCTGGGGCCTTAGTATGGTCTCCTCTTCTGGATTCCCCACTGAATTTTTTTTTCTTTTCCAGGGAGAAAAGGAGGGGACTACATTCAGGCTGCAGGTAAGTGAAAGGTTGACATGGAGGGTAGAAAGAAGGGGCCAGCCCATGGTATCTTTGGGACATGAGAAATGAGAAGGCAGAGGAGAGGCTTACCCCACTAACCTTTCCTCAGTGTCCTCTTTCCTTCCTTTGCTCCCCTTCTGTAAAATATGTGGCTGACTGGGTTGTTTCCCTCCTTTGTCACCAGACAGTGACAGTGCACAGGGGTTAGATGTCTCTCTTGCAGCCAAAGGTGAGACTCTGGGGGTCATGGAACTGGAGAGGGGCTGGTGTAAAGGGGGCCAAGCAAAGAGCATGGGTTATGTGAGTGGTTGGGGTGAAAATTGAATGGGAAGTGAAGCAGGCTCGTTAGAATGATGAGAGACCTGAGGCCAGAAGGGACTTTGAGGATCTCCCTTAATCTGTCTTTCTCCAGCTTGAGATAATTGCCTTGTGTGAACCTGAGAAAGAAAACAAAGATATTCAAGTCTCCAATTCCTGTCTTGTTCCTGTTGACCTCTGGCTTCTCTTTCCAGCGATCATCATTGTACTCTATTGGCCAATGACCCCCTTCCTGTCTCGCCAATCTGAATTCTTGAGCCTCCAGATCACAACTCCTAGGGAAACATCATTAGTGCCCTCACCCTGTTATCTAAGACCTCCCGCCTCTGCCTTCTTCCTTTCTGCCTGCCTCACTTTGCAGGTAGACAAGCAGTAGTAAAAGTAAGAGGGGTTTGGAAATAAGCCCCCCTGAATGTATATGTATAACCTATATCAGAATTTGAAACATCTTGGGGAGGTATGTGGGGAGGGAAGGGGAGAAAAATGTAAAACTCGAAAGCTTATGCAAGTGATTGTTGATTAATTAAAATAAAAATTTTTCCCTACTGAAAAAACATGCATAATGAATTATTTTTCTTGAATCTTCAACTTCTCTCCACAATCTCAATTGGACTTTACGTGTGTGTGTGTGTGTGTGTGTGTGTGTGTGTGTGTGTTGGGGGCGGAGTTTAGGGGACAGGATGACAATGTAGATATATCCTGACCATGTGACCAGGAAAATAAGTTAAAGCTTGAAGACTTTTAAGAATTCTTTTATTTGCTCTGCTAAGCCTGTGATTGCAGGTGGGGCTGGGCCAAAGATGGGAAGGGGCCAGAGTTAGGACTTGACCTCAGGTCTTCCACTCTACCATGGTGCTTCTCAAGCCCAACACTCCAAATCCTAGCAGCAGCCCTGGTTGAAGCATGATATGGATAGAACTGTGAAGGTCTAACTCAGAAATCTTTCCTCTGAATCTCCACTTAATCCCTTAAATATTGATATCTCATTCTGTACATTTCCCTCTCATGAATACTCTTTTTATAGTAGTGATCTTCCTTGGAATCTGTACATATCTTTGAAATCTTTTGATAAAGGTATAAGCACAATGGGAGGGGAGAGGAGGCATCCCTGTGTATCACTGCCATGTGCTTCCAGCACCTGTGTTTGCTGCCATTGAGCCTCAATGACATGCCTGAAATCAACCAAATTGGTCCTATCTAAAGTTAGTGGAATATCAAGCCAGCAGCCAAACTTTATTTTCATAGGTATCCATGTGAGATTAAATTGGGGCTTACTTTCCTCATTTGTTGCAGAGAATTGGTCCAAATTTCAAGGTAGCTAGGTGGCTCAGTGAATGAAGCCTTGGATTTTGAGTCAGAAAGACCTGAATTCAAATCTTGTCTTAGATGCTTTATAGCTGTATGACTGTGAGCAAGTCATTTAACCTCTCACCTCATCTGTGAAATCGAGATCATAATAGTGCCTACCTCCCAGGGTTGGTATGAAGATCAAATGAGATCATATTTATAAAGTTCTTTGCAAAGTTTATTATAGAAATACTAGCTGTTATTATTATAGCTTTCAAGGACTAATTCTTATGATTTTGCCAATTACAAATAGTCATTCAATCATTGCAATACTCATCAAAATTATGATCTTGGTCCTATCCTGTCAGAACCATAAGAATTCTTCCCAGTAAAAACTTGAAAAGTAATTGATTTCTATACCACTGGATTATTTGGTAATAGCTTTTTGTAACTAACACTCTGTATAAATAAAAATTTTAAATATATAGAATTTGTGAAAAAAACATTTTGTTTTGACTATGATAGAAGTGCCCTGTGACAGTACTATTTTCTTAGTACACTGCAGCCCTTTAGTGTGTACAACTTTATCTGATTTTATTTGGAATTATTTTTTTTGGATCAGATTTTATTTATTTTTAGTTTTCAACATTCACTTCCACAAGATTTTGAGTTCCAAATTTTCATCCCATCTTGCCCCTCCCTCCACCCCAAGATGGTGTGCATTCTGAATACCCCTTCCCCTAGTCTGCCCTCCCTTCTGTCTCTCCCCCACTTCTCTTATTCCCTTCTCCTTCTATTTTCCTGTAGGGCAGGATAGATTTCTGTACCCCATTTCCTATATTTCTTTTTTGCATGCGAAAACATTTTTTAACATGTGTTTTTAAAAATTTGGATTCCAAATTTTCTCCCTCTCTCCCCATCCACCCTCATTGAAAAGGCAAGCAACTCAATACCAGTTATATATGTGCAGTTATGCAAAACATAGTAGTCATGTTGTGAAAGACTAACTCTATTTCCCTTAATCCTATCCTGCCCCCCCATTTATTCCATTCCTTTTTTTGACCCTGTCCCTCCTCAGAAATGATTGCTTCTGATTACCTCCTCTCCCACTCTATCCTCCCCTCTATTATCTCCCTGCTCTCTTGTCCCCTTCCCTCACTATTTTCCTGTAGGGTAAGATAGATTTCCATACCCAATTAAGTGTGTATGTTATTCCCTTCTTAAGCCAAATCTGATGAGAATAAGATTCACTTATTCCCTCTCACCTTCCCCTGTTTCCCCTCCACTGTAAGAGCCTTTTCTTTTCTGTTTTTTTTGTGAGATAATTTACCCTATTCTACCATTTCTCCTTCTTCCAGTATAATCTTCTCTCACCACTTAATTTTATTCTCCAGATATCACCCCCTTCATCTTCACCTCACCCTGTGTCCTCTATCTATATATACACGTACATATAATTTTTTTCCCCTCCAGCTACACTAATACTGACAAAGGTCTCATGAGTTACAAATATCATCTTTCCATGCAGGAATGTAAACAGTTCAACCTTAATTAGTCTCTTATGATTTCTCTTTCCTGTTTACCTCTTCATGTTCTACTTGAGCCTTGTATTTGAAAGTCAAATTTCTATTCAACTCTGGTCTTTTCCTCAAGAATGCTTGAAAGTCCTCTATTTCACTGAATGACCATTTTTCCCCCTGAAGGATTATATTCAGTTTTGCTGGGTAGGCGATTCTTTCTGAAATATTATATTCCATGCCTTGCAGTCCCTTGTGTTTCCATAGTACTTGAATTGTTTCTTTCTGGCTACTTGCAATATTTTCTCCTTGACTGGGGAGCTCTGGAATTTGGCTACAATATTCCTAGGAGTTTTCCTTTGAGGATCTCTTTCAGGAGGAGATCGGTGGATTCTTTCAATTTCTATTTTGCCCTATGGTTCTAAAATATCAGGGCAGTTTTCCTTGATAATTTGTTGGAAGATGATGTCTAAGCTCTTTTTTTAATCATGGCTTTCAGATAGTCCAATAATTTTTAAATGATCTCTCCTAGACCTATTTTCCAGGTCAGTTGTTTATCCAATGAGATATTTCACATTCTTTTCTAATTTTTCATTCTTTTGGATTTGTTTTACAGTGTCTTGATTTCTCATAAAGTCACTAGCTTCCAATTGCTCTATTCTAATTTTTAAGGAAGTATTTTCTTCAGTAATCTTTTGGACTTCCTTTTCCATTTGGCCAATTTTGCTCGTTATGGCATTCTTCTCCTCATTGGCTTTCTGGACCTCTTTTGCCATTTGGGTTAGGCTATTTTTAAAGGTAATATTTTCTTCAGTATTTTTTTGGGTTTCCTTTAGCAAGCTGTTGACTTGTTTTTCATGATTTTCTTGCATTCACTCTCATCTCTCTTCCCAGTTTTTCCTCTACTTCTCTTATTTGCTTCTCAAAATCCTTTCTGAGCTCTTCCAAGGCCTGGAACTGATTCACATTTTTTGTGGAGACTTTGGATGTAGGAGCTTTGACTTTGTTGTCTTCTTCTGGTTGTACGTTTTTATCTTCTTTGTTAC